ATCCCGGGACCCCGGGATGGATCATGACCTGAGCCGAAGGCAGACGCTTAATGACTGAGCCACCCAGGCGCCCCCCCCACCCCCCACCCCGACAATTCTGCCTTTTTGACCAGCTGTGCTGATGCTCGGAGTCAGTGGACCGCGCGCTTCCAACAAGGATTTTGAGAGGACTCTTCACTGAGTACCCCGCACTTACTGCTATTAATTCTGTAATGTTGGCCTTCTCTGCCCGTCCAGTCAGCATTTCAAGCTGCTTACTTTTTAATTCCAAGTTGCGCTTATTTCTAAGTGTCCTAATCTTTTCCAGAGTAGAGGTGAAAAAAAAATTAATTTGAGGTTTTATCTCATGGAAAATAATTTCAGAGTTAAGTGAAATTTAAAATAGGAAGAAAGCTTATTTTTTCTCTTGTGCTCTTTCTCTCTCGTCCGTAAGCCAGAAGCAGGTTGTAGTAATAAGCATGGAATCTTTTTTTTTTTTTTTTGGTCTTCTTTTGATCTTGGAGAATACAATTTCCCCCTGTTATCAGTATGTGTCCCTTATAGATATTATTTTAAAAATTGATGTTGAATCATCACTTTCCACAACCATGTTTTGACATGTAATAGTTATGGTGATAGAGTATAAAGTAGGCATCTGGGAAAAGATGACTTTCGCCTGTTGATATAGAAGGTCACTGAGCAGATGACATGAGATCAGAGTGGATTACTGGTTCTGGTGGATCCAGGGACAGGAGGACCTGAGAGATTCAGAAAAGGACCAGGGGTCCTTGGACAAAGGAGCCTTTGGAGATAATGTAAAGCAGGTAGCCCCCCCAAATCCTAAATAGCCCTCCTCGGCTCCCATGAGCAGTTGCCAAAATGACGATTCATTTTTATCTTCTTTTCAATTGATGCGGAAAATTTCCAATGAGTTGATATGACATTATCTATCTACTTATGGACTTTGTTTCCAGTTTTTCTCCAGAATACGGACACTACGATGACCATCTTTATGCATGTCATTGTTATTTCCTTTTGAATTACTTCCTTGATATAAATTCAAGGAAATAGGATTACTGGCTTAAAGGGGGTGGGCATTTTCATGACACTTGGTGGCTCCTGACAAAGGGCTTTTCAGTGGGGCCATACCTGATTCCAGAGCCCTGAGTGGCATATGGTGAGTGCACTGGATTGGTTATAACTTTTCCAACGATGGATTTCATTATTTTGCCCCTCTGCCCCAAATTAAATAAGAGTAAAACAGCACATTGCTTTGCTTGAGTGCTTTCATATATGCTTGTGAAATATGTATTCTTTCTTGTGAATTGTCACACTTGGACTTGAGAATTACATTTTAATCAGTGTTCCTATGGACATACAGTGAGTCAAAAATTAGACATGGCTTTACCTTTGTTAAACATCAAACACCCACTCACCCTTGAAATGTAAATATTGTATGTGAGTTAACTCTGGTGAGCTAGGTCTGCTACTTTCATTTTAAGCCTTATAATAACCTGGTTCCTCTCTTCCGCATGGTTTCTTGTTTATAAACCCACCTCTTAAGTATAGCGTTAGAGGTGAATACAGGCTCAGCTGTGGTCTGGCTGGTATATCCAGTATTAGGGTTATTGCTTTAAGGCTGCCTTGGCCTCTCTCAGTGGCCTTGCCCTCAACCATAAAGAATTACAAACTTAGATCAACTGGGAAAAGCTGAAGTTTTCCAGCTGAAATTTTTTTTTTAAGATTTTGTTAAATAATCTCTCTATCCAACATGGGGCTTGAACTCATAACCCGAGGTCAAGAGTCACATGCTCTACCAAGTGAGCCAGCCAGGCGCCCCTCCAGTTATAATTTAAAAAAAATTTTTTAAATCTAAAAACAGGATTTTACATTTCTATTACATTATAACCAAAAAGAAAAAAATTTATATATATAAAATTATGTATTATTATGTAAATTATTTATATTATGGATAATATATTATGTAATATATATTTTTATATATATATAAAAATAGATAGTTTTTACTGTTGTGATTTTCCAGAAAGAAGAAATTAAAAAGAACATATTCATCATATTTTATCAAGGAGAGCAACTCAGACAGAAAATCAAGAGGATCTGTGAAGGGTAAGAGGCTGTTCATGGCTCTTTCATCAGTGATTTGGGTCACGATTAGGTGAAGAGGTGTGTGAGACAAAGTACTCTTGACTGGAGGTTTCTTTGAGGTCCCTTAGGATTTTAGAACAAGTTTCCCGCATTTGACTAGATAGTGTTAAAAATGCGACTGATCTTTAAGAGCTGTGGGAATAGGAGCTGAGAGGACTTGAGTAAGCAAAAGTCAAGGTAACAGAAAGTAGGCATCATAACCAAGTCCGTGTATTCCTTCTCACACCCTTTATCAGCCGCTAAGAAGTAGGCACACCTCATGCTGAGCTGTTTCTGATTTTACAGAATCGATTTACTCCAGCAGAAATTATTCAGT